CATATATTTAAATACATGTTATGGCCTTGAACACTATGAAAACCAGCTGACTACCATGCCATTATCACAGCATTCTTTCTAAGAAATTACTCTTAAGTTGAAATTATGTGATAACCATAGTAAACCAGCTGAGAGGCAGCCCATCACAATCACTTCCAACTGGCCAGACTTATGGCGAAATCTACACAGTTCAAACATTTGATTTGTACCTTTCTACTTGCTATTCCTCTTTCACTAAACAGCTCAGTCTCTTTTTTTTTTTTTTTACTACTGCCATTTACTATTAAGGATCATAAAGCTGTTACCCAAACACCATTAAACAGTAAAATAAAAGCTTGGCCTGGAGTCATTGTGATGACTCACTTCCTTCATTTAAAAACTTAATATGTTGAGTCTTAAAAAAGGCTTAATGCACTGGAAGGTTTGGCGATAAACCTATAAACAAAGGAGGAAACGAGAAGCGAGAGAGTACTTGCTACTATATGCGAGTGGGATTTTTTTAAACTCTGTTCCATTAATTTTACTACTTAAGAACAAAGTACATTAACATTTTTAAAGCCTTTGAAAATTGGGTTCAGACTCCTTTATGTTTAGGACTAATCACCTATCAATCACATCATATGTAAAAGAACAGCTTAGTCACCCAAGTGAACAAAAAGTGCAGCACATTTTTAATACTCACTGAGAAGTGTTTTGACAAAAGGAAAATTTGTAAAAGATAAGAATATGAAAGTATTGCTATAGGAGACCATTGTGTGTCAAGATAATTCCTGAAAGCAGAGCCGTTCTGACAACAGGTCTGAATGATATAAAAAATGCAAATAGTTTTAAGAAAGAAAATCACTTCACTTTGATCTGTTTTCTTAAAGTTGCAATAAAAACACATTTTAGTCACAACTGAAATCAGTCAGTATGTGCAGAAAAGTTGATAAAGACACATGCATTCATATTTTCAACATTTCACATTAATTTACATTTGCTTTAGATTGTGAAATTGTTTCAGTTTGTTTAGAAATATATGTAAATTTTGCATGATGTGTGACAAGTACCCATTTGATTCTTGAGACACCATTTTATTTTCAAAGAGCGATTTAGAGGACTCATAGTGTTTAAATTATGTACTGTTAGGTGTTGTGAAAAAGAAAATTGCCTCCAAGAAGACATCCAGACTTCTTTTTTAATGGGTTTGGGACAAATSCGCTGAGAGACAAGTTCAATAGAGCTCACTGAAATGAGTCTTTTGTGGTCTATGATTTTCTTATGCTAGATATTTGCATATCACATGCCTGGTGGGTAGCACAGCCCTCTGAAAAGTAAAAAAATGAGCAGCAACTTTGAAGAACACACAGAGATATATGGAGGGAATAAGGGAGAWAAACACCAATAGAAGTGCTTCTCAAAAACTGTGGTACATACGTTGACTTTAATGATTTTGACATTACTGTACATCATCACGGTTCAGCTAATGCTTCAATTTAAACATGTTTTATTGCGATTTATAAACTTGTTTTGTTATTGTATTTTTGCAGTTTACACGTGTGTGCATGTGCATGTGCCAGTGTGCACTCTGACCTTGCTGTTGATGGTACCAATGTTCTCCATCATGGCAGACATGGCTTCTGATATGTGACTGGGGAGGGAAAGGATCACACTATCCATGTCTTCCAAGCGACTCTTTGCCACCTCTATCATTGTATCTACAGAAGAACAGAAAGGTCAGCGAGGATGAAGCAGGCATTGGAATTTTCACTTATGCATACGTYCGTAAGGAAATGTAGCCTTGTTCACACGGAATGTAGAGCCAAAAGCTTTGATTGAACAAATATTARCCCTTGTTGACCAGTAAGTTTGTGGGATTGAACAAAAACAAGGGTTATGTGRAGTACATCAGAGTGGTCACTATCTGGTAAYGCTTTCTTTTACRGYACCCTTATTACCATGTAATTACWAGGTAATTAGGTAYAATTTTACTRYGYAATTGTCTGCAGTAATGYMGCACTTACCTGGWAATGTATTACGATTCACTATGTGACACCTAAATAAGTAGTAGGTAATTTGGACAGTTTTAAAGTTATATTTTATTGCAATTAACCACTAACCCCAAAATTTAGTTGCATTCTTTTGGTTATAAATATAGTGTTGAATTAATATTGAATAGTAATATGATTGTCGTTACCCAATAAAGGTAGTTTTACTAACAGTAGTTTTTTTTCTTTTGTTACCCTAATTACCACGTCATTACAYGGTAATAAGGGTACCGTAAAATAAAGCATTACCCACTATCTTACCTGCAGTAGACAGTGCTCCGAGTACTCTCAGTGTGTGAAGTATCAAAGAGAAGTTTGAAGAAGAAAAAAAATCACTTCATTCTATGTGTGAATATGTGTGTGCCTTAACCTGCCAGACGTGTCCACTCAGGGTTGAGGTCAGCTTGGTTGGCTAGACAGCCCTTCACAACGTTGCTGCAGTAGTTGGAGCATGGCTGAGCAAAGAGCATGCCGTGACAATGAGGACAGTAGGCCATCTTCATGGTAGCTCTCATGCAGTCCTTGCTCAGCTGCACCTGGGATRAGGCAAAAAARSMAWWT